AACCAGCCTTATGGCAGCTAACTTTCCAGCTGGAGCGCTGAAGTTTCCAGACTTGTCACCTTTGGCCCCAGAACACACTGGAGAGCGATTGAGCTATCTGCCAGCGATCTGAAACTCAAACAAAGAATACGTTAGGTAATAACGTCATACTGTCTTCGCTACAACGGTTATTTGTTTGACCCTTCCACTGCCAAACGTGTCCAAAGTCAAAATTCAAACAAACTGTTCAAACTTCACTTCGAAAAGCTGAAATACATAATGGTACCATGTTAAATTATTGCCAAAGAGGTCTTATTTTAATAGCCACACCATAGATTATTTCCTCCTCAGCGTCAAGGCGGCCATATTGGTGTAATAAACAATAAAACTTTCCTTTGTTTCAACTAAGGCATTTTTTTTTTAAGTTCGAAAATTTAGAATACCAGTAATGGAAACCATTTTCTGTTTCTACCGTAAAGCAGTGATACTTTAAACAATTCAAAAGTTTAAATAAAAGAAAAAGATTTAACGGCGGTGGGGTTGGTTACGGTCTAGCCTGCAAACACGCTCACTTGTGCGAGTTCATGGAAAATTTTACCGGCGTTAAGAAGAATAGGGCGAGGAAACATTTTTTCCCGGACTCGCAGAAGTGAGCCTGCTCGCAGGCTAGTTAACGCCAGACGCCCATCTCCTGTGTTATTTCATCAATATTATGAGCACCCAGACATGTAGTACTGCCTTATAGTAATAATAATAATGATGATAATAACATTATTGATGATGATGATAGTAATAACAATTATGATAGTAATAACAGTCAATGTGTAACTCTTATGAAAGGTGAGGGTCGATGGCTACACCAGTTAATAAGCTTTTCACCTACTGATTTCTCTAGCCTTGCGTTGTCAATGGAAAAGAAGAAGTTTTTTTTTTTCACTATGACTATTTAGTTTGGATTAACCAATGAGTAGATGCTTCGTCTTTTTGATTTATCGCAGTTTTTTGGAGTAGGATGTGATGTGACAGGATATGAATTGTGGTGTTGCAACATAAAAGTCAAATTTCACAACAATTGTGAAAACATAGGTTAAATTCTGAAAAATTAATGTGTAAGGTGTCATTGTGAAATTTGACGTTTATTTTCTCACAATCTCTCATAGGAAATTTTCTTTGGTGTCATTACAGATAACTAATTACATCTGTAGCCCTTGAAAAATGCAAAAAAGAATGCAATATGCTTTAAATTATTCTGGTACAAGGTTTTTGTCTACTGAAAATTAAAATTCCTCAATTTCCTGACGGATTCCGTCTTAATGCTTTATGAAGATAGCTTTTATTCATTTCCTTGTTATAACACATTTATTTCAGTACTCTGCATCTCACCTAAAGGGCTTTTACTTGGTTTAATAAAGCCTGATTATTTACCCCCCAACCATAGTAAGGTGATTTTTTTTGGTTTCATTTCGTCGACTTTTAAACACTTTTTGGTTAGTTTCTCTTAGACTCCCATTTAGAGTTTGCTGTATTTCACAACAATTGGCCCGACCTTGCCAAATAGTTTCGTCGGCCGCATAGATTTTTACTTCAGTTTCCTTCAGAAAAACAGAGATCTTTCACGTATATAGAGAAGAGGATAGGGCCTACAACTGAGCCCAATGGCACTTCTTCTGTCTAG